TGATCTTCTCGTGCATGTCCATGTCGCTGAAGATGGTGTCGAAGATTACATCGCCCCAGATACTGCCACTTGCAATGTTCATCTCGCCCAGATGGGCGGAGCCATCCGGCTGCACTTGTTGGATCTGGCTCTGCAACATCCTCACGCTCTGGATGCAACTTTCCGCCTTTTCCAGGTAATTGCGCTTCTGCATCGAGATTGTGGCGCCGTCGCAGAACATGTCCACCTGCGACATATGATGCGCAGAGTCTAGGTAGCGCGCTGCTCCGGCGAGCCTTTGCGAGACTTGGCCTAGTAGGAAGACGAGGTGTCGTTCCCTCTCCAACTGCTGAGATAGATGCTGTACAGTCTGCGATGCTGACACGCACGCGCTTTCCCTCTCGTCTTCTTCCGGAAAGCCTGGCGTAGGTCCACTGAAGATGCTGTCGTATAGCGCATCGAGATGGGCCTGGAACTGCTCATGCCTCTGCGCCTCGTGCTCGAAATGCTGCCTCTCGGTCTCGGCTTCGGATTTCAGATGTTCGAGGTAGGCGAGCTGGTCTTCGCCCGTCTTCTGCTCCTGGATCGCGTCAAAGTACTCCCTCTCCTCTTTGGCGGCCTTGTCCGCAAATTTCCCCCTTTGACCCGCCGCTTTGTGGGCCAAGCGGCGGAAGGTCGATTCCGAATATTTCTTGTGATCCTTGAGCTCCGTCTGCGTGGCCTTTTTCAGTCTGGATACGTGTGCCGCCGTCTGCCTGATCTGGCTGTCCAGGTCGGCGATATATGCATTTTGCTGCGAGAGTTGCGAAGGCGCAGAGTCGGTCTCGTGGAGGCCATTGAGTAGAGCGGCATTTTGTGGGGCGGCGTGTTGGATCTGCGTGCGGATGTGGTCCATGGCAAGTATATCCGTATTAATTATATTATTTTTTTGACCGGGATATTGATAAAACAGTTCCTTGGATTCAGTATGAAATGTATGCTAAAGTAGGACAAAGAGAAAGAAAAAAAAAGTGTTTGGCAAAGTTGAAAGAAGCCGTCCTTTTAAGCTCGTACCTACCTACTACTTGTGATAACACATCATTTTGATGTACCCCAGGTAAACTAATCATTGATCCGCTTCCTATTCCCGATTTATCTCCTTGTGAGAAGGTTGCGAAAAATCGGTAATGATAATAATAATAATCTCACGAACTTCGTTGGAGGATGTGGTGTAGTATTGATTAATTAGTGCGTTATTGTAGCTAAAGGACGGATTTGGAGATCGCGTTGTGGCGTCTGAGGCACAGCAGAGATCTGCGCCACTGCATAATATAAAGGCTTGTTTTCTCTCTAACCCGTGCAGTTATTGTACAAAGTAAGCTTTTTATATCCAATCCAGTTCTCAGGGAGGAACACCTAGAGACGAGTGTCACGTGAAAAAACAGCATGTGTCTTGGCACTTTTCAATATCTGGAACATCTAGACTCCTCTCCAGCATTGGACGAGGGCAGTGGACGATGCATTCATGCCCTTACAGACTCAGAAGAAGCTTTTTAGCGTAATACAAAAGTGGTAGATATATGTACTAGAAGACTTCTTGATTAAGGGAAGGAAAAGCCGGGCTCCCGGAATAAAAATGGCAGGTCGTCGCTAGCGGCCGTTCTCTCGCAGGGTAATCCTCGGCCTTGATTGCCTAACACTTTGTGTTATCATCCCAAGCTCGAAGCGCCCACCAGCAACCATGTCCAGCCTTCTGCAGCTTGTTAACCGCTCAATCGACTTCCCTCATCTCGTCCCATGATCATCATCAGCCATGACCTCTGTCCTCAACCTTCAGTCCTTCCGCACGAAACCCCGCGTTTTCATCCTCTCCGATATCTCCAATGAGCCCGACGATGCCGAGTCGCTATGTCGGTACCTGCTATACGCCAATCAGTTCGAGACGGAGGGACTCGTCGCCTGCACGAGTACGTGGATGAAAAATAAAGTCTGTCCGGAGGATATGGAGAAGATTATCGATGCGTATGCCGGCGCAGTTGAGAATCTGAATAAGCATGTAAATCCTGATTGGCAGTATCCTCCTGCGGAGCACTTGAAGGGTCTGATACGGAAGGGTCCCGAGGTATATAACTTTCATGGCATCGCCGGGAGCGTTTCAATATATTGACCATCTTAGACGTATGGCATGACCGCCTTGGCTGGCGATGCCCCACTCTCTCCAGGCGCCGAACTTCTTTATTCACGCGTTATCGCTCCGTCGAATCAGCCTCTATGGGTCCTCTGTTGGGGCGGCACCAATGTCCTAGCCCAAGTTCTCCTCAAGATCGATGACAACTTTGAGCCTGAAGACTCGAGGCGTCTGATGTCGCGTATACGCGTCTACGCCATCTCCGATCAAGACGATACAAGCGCGTGGATTCGGAACAACTTCTCTGACATATTCTATATCGCTTCGGTGCACGGCTGGAATCAATACGGTCTTGCAGCGTGGACGGGGATATCTGGGGACAAATTCTATGGCTTTGATCAGGGTGGACCGGATTTCACCAAGATGGAGAAGGGCTGGATCAAGGATAATATTCAGATCGGACCACTAGGAAGCGCATACCCCGATGTTAAATATATTGCCGAAGGAGACACGCCTTCCTTCCTCTACCTGATTCAAAACGGACTTGGTGTTTCTGAGTTCCCGGAATATGGGTCTTGGGGTGGACGCTACGTGCGGACCGACGCTAGTCTGAGCGGACTGAACAGCAACCACTACAGCGATGCGGTGGACAGAGTGAAGGGCCTGGATGGGAAAACGTACACTTCCAACCACGCGACCATCTGGCGTTGGCGAGATGCGTTCCAGAACGACTTCGCAGCCAGGATACAATGGACTCTTCACGACGATGTGACAAAAGCGAACCACCACCCCGTCATAACCCTCAACGACGCTACTGGCATCCAGCCCGTGCGCATCGATGCTGAAGCCGGAAGCACCGTCACACTTGATGCGAGCAAGACGTACGACCCCGACGCCAACGATAGACTCACATTCACGTGGTACCACTACCGTGATCCAACCGCAATACAGTGGTGGGTTGATGCTGAGGTGTCCGAGCTCATGATCAAGAAACTCGACGATGAGGGTCGGAAAGTAGAGGTCACTCTTCCACCGCCGGAGAAGTGTAGCGTAGATCTCTTTACTCGGCAGCCGGTGGCGAAGGGCCAGTTGTTGCATTTGATACTGGAAGTCAAGGACGACGGTGTTCCATCGTTGACCTCTTATCGTCGGGTTCTGATACAGGTGATGAACAAGGAGCTAGTGGGGGGTCTGAAGCCAGTTGACGTAGTTGCGCAAGCGATAAAGACTCTATGAACAATGGTTTCGTCTTTTAGCGTTTGTAGAGGCAAAAGTTGGCAATTGTCTTGATTTTATCTATATTTGATAGCGGTTATATCTAGCGTTCGAGGCGAATCGGGAGGTAGGGTACATATGAATCACGACATAATTTATGGGCAGTAATGCTGCTGTGTTCGTCCATGATCCGAAAAGGAATGCGTCAGCACATTGGACACGTGACTAGCCGCGCCTCGAAAAACATCTCAATCCAAGAAGGGGTAGTCAGCGACACTATCCAACAGACTGTTTCAGGCACAGAGAACAAGACCGTGGTCCAAACAAATGTACATAGACCCCTATTATGATTTCTTCGCACTATTAGTGAGCTAGTAGTGTAGTAGGTTTTGCAATGAATAGAATTGTTAACCAACTAACTTGAGAGGTGTGGTCTTCTACAAGTGTTGTAGTATTAATGCGTTGCCTCATGATTGTTTGTTTCACGGCCTTGGCGGGTGGCTAGCGGGAGGACTGTGTATGCACATGCCTCAGAAAAGGCTTATTATTACTTGCACCTCTTTCAATCATGCTGCCGATGAACAAACACGACGAAGAAGAAGAATCCCAGACTTAATCTCCTAGAAGGCAATGACACGTCACGTTACAAGGAGATAGTCAATCAAGGTCATGCATGACTTGCCGCCCCCACCCCCATATATCGTACCAGTGCGACGGCAAATTCGTAACATTACCCACTCTTTGCTCCATCATCCTAGGCTCACTACAAAATCGTAGATTGAGCCAGTATCAAACCGACGTAGTTGCAATTCAATCATGGTGTTTTTTTTTCGCACGCAACCACCATCAATGTTGCATTTGTCGCCACATGATCGATCGTTGGG